TCGATCATCTTTCGAAAGCCATTTTTAAACTCAATGTGTATGTCTCCGCTTGATGTATGCTCTTATCAGCTTGTTTACTGGCATTTTTTTCCGCATCTAGTCGCCAGCACAGCAACATATATGTATTTAAATTAATGTTTAATTTGAAATTAATTACATTCTTTATTTCACTCGAAATGCTCTTTAATCAGTTGAATTTATGGGTTTTTTTTTTCAGCGGGCAGAACTTTATCTTGACGCTCAGTTGAAGAGAAAAGAGCCAAGTGCTATTTTAATCAATTGATGAAATACGAACGTACTTTACAAAATAAGACGAAAAAAACCAAAATCGATCAAATTTCAGCATTTGGACTAGCAATCGACAATTCATTTTCGAGTGGCAATGAAAATAACAGGTATTCAAACAAAAAAAAAACTGCGTACGCTTCCAATGCGCACATATAGAAAAGAATGCAGCACGACAAAAGATACGCACAAAATGTAGTACTTCATCATTGACCAGTAGTTTTTTTGTGTGTGTTTAAACTTGTTCTGATATTGTTTAGACCGTTGAAGCGATGCGAATGCATTCGAATAGACAGGACGACAAACACTAAAACACATTACCTTTTAATATTATATACGATATGTAATGTGCGAAATGGGCATATAAATAATGTGAATATATTGGTAAGAATAGCCATCAGCCAGCCAAACGCAAATGCCAAAGTACAAAAATGGCGCAATAAAATATTTGCGACATGGTTATATCGAAATCATGATACGTGCAAGACTGAACATTTCATGTTGATGGAGAATTTACTTTTCCAGAGATATTCCAGCTTGAAACTGCAACGCACTGTGATTTAGATGCAATCCGATAAGCACGATGAATACGATGGCACGATGCATACACACAAAAGAAGCATTTATACATTGGCCAAGTGCACGCACTTAGCCCATAAACGGGCTTGGTTCTATTGTATCGAAACAATCATTGTTGTTTCCCTTTAGGTTACAAATGCGCAATGTCGTCGATTTAAACAAAAATTACAATGCACTGGCAATTATTTGACGCAACATTTGATTTACTTCGATTGTTGATAAAATCTTTTCTCCCTCTCTTTTTATCGTTCGTTTTGTTTGGATTGGCTGCATTGCTTTATTTTCACTCCAAATAAATTCAACCTTTAACCGTAAGACATTTAAATTCGATGATACTTGACGAGGGGGGAATAAGCTAATGCGGTGAATTGCGAACATACATGTCAAGACGATAAATAAATTGTGAGCTTCATTCGATCCGATTATGGAATGTGCAACACTCTTCACTTTATTTTAGCAACATCAACAATTTTGTTACGTTTTTTTATCGTATTTTATTGCGTTTTGTTGTTGTTAATTTTTTTTCATTGCATCCATACCATTGTCAGGAAGACAAAAAAGCACATAAAAACTCCCACTCAACCTTTTGTCAAAACATTAATAAGTCAATACTGTATATATTGGTGGATTACACTTGTTTCCGTTGAGTTTGAAGAATATTCAAAGAGAATTACGTTTATGCCAAAATCGGGTGTGACGATAAATAAATGAAGATATAAATACATTTATTTTTTCTTCATACCTTACAATTAAGTTTTTGCTCGATTTTTTCCCATTTATTTAAATTAATTGAAAACATTATAATAAATTTGATACATATACGCGCTGGCGATAAAAACGCGTGAAAATATCTGGATAGTATACAAAGGAAACGAACAAACAAGCCAAAATGCTATAAAAAAGAGTTATATTGACTTATTACATTGTTGTTGGGCGAATTTTGTATTTTTAGAGCGTGTACTAACAATAATCTTGCATGAATCTTTCGCATACACAATTGAATATGGTGTTGAATCGATGTTTTACGAAATTTCTCAAATGCAATGAACATTGGCATCGATGGTGAAGACAAAAATAAAGCAAATCAAGAACCAACTAAGAAACTAAAAGACAAAAGAGCCCTCACATTAACCGTTAGCAACGCAACGAAAATGTGCATCAGCAGCATCTCTCTTTTGCTCCTTTTCTCTAAAAATGTGTGCGCTTGCGAGCGCTGGATGAGCGTGAATTATATTAGGAGATCAGTAAAGCATGTTGTATATACACAGTCTGCGTATAAAGTAGGTTCAACCGGGGCAATATAGCGTAATTTGTATTTTATATGTTTCTGGCTTTTTTTTCTTCTTTATCTTCTTCTTACTCCTTCTTTCTTTAAATAACATAAACATTGCATTTGCGATTTGTAGTTGGCAGGCTGCTTTCTTAGCAATCGTTACATATTCTGTGCGTGTATTGTGTTTTAAAGAATTGCTGAAGAAATGTTGCATCACATACAAATCGTATATGTTAAATGTAAATGTATGTGTGTCTCTGTGTGTGTATGAGCATGAAAGTCACTTTCTTTCTAAAAACCGAACGCCTTCGAGTTAATGAAATGTTGATGTGTGCCAATGTTATGTTCTGTGGAATACACATCGAATTTACATTTATTGCAAATGATACCAAGTAAAAAAGTGTGTACATGTGAAATGGATCTATACTCATTTCAATGCTGTATTTTCGCTTGCGGTCGAATGAATTTAAACGACTATGTCTGAAACAATGCTCCCAATGATGCAGGAAGTGCAGGAAGTGTTGAACGCTATGAGCAGTTTGTTGGTTTCATTTTCCGTTTTTGTTGTGCGTTTTTTTTTTACTCTTTCGTTTAGTAATATTGGAAAGGGGTTAACGAAATACATCATTTTACGATACAAAATATCGGCGAACGGACCCAATATTTGTCCATTAGTAACGGATACAAAAAAATAAGTAAATCGATCATCGTCGAATTGAAGTGTATGCGTGTGTGCGTGTTTATTCACAGTCGGTCTTGTGCCAATATAAAAATTGACTAGAAATAAATAAATGCCATGGTAATCTGTGGGAGGCAAGGCAAAGTATATCTCTGATATATTCGTTTAATGATCAATCGACGTGAATCTAGACGTGAATTCACTACAATTATATTGCGTGCTGTGTGTGGATTGAATACACATCATCGGCATGCAATTCACAGCATATATTATGCACCTATAGTGAATCGTTTGCATCAATGTGTGGGCGCCTAACGCATTTTCACTGCACACATGCGACTTTCGCAGATAACGGCGCCTTATTGTCGACTGTATTGACTTATATAACGAAATCATATACATTTGTCTTGATCAAATTTGAATTTTCATGGGTCTTTTTCATACAATACCATTAAAATGGATGATACATTTTTATTTTTTATTTTATAGATGGCGCCAGTTTTACACAATTTCGTCATTCTTATTCAATGATCAAAGAGATACAATCGATTCGATTCAAAATGTTAACTCAAAACATATCGAACGTTTTGAGAATGTGTCGCGTTGTGTTTTGAGATACCAAAAGATCGATTTATCATGTCGATTTGATCAAGATTTAAATGCACCGAATAATTAAACCGTTTTACTCATTGTTACAATATATTTACTTTTTACATATTTCAATTGAATTTTTCTGTATATTTAAGTGTTCGCCAGAAAATCAAGAGAGTCCAAAGAAGCCGTTTTACATTTGTGACCATTAAGTAGAAATTGGTTTTTCTTGTTGTGCGTCATCCTACGCGGATGCAAACAACAACTCCCTTTCTTTCACGATTTTTACGAGTAAGCATATGGTTATTGGCCGAAGAGCACTGCGCGCCTCGCACAATCGGTAAGAGGACACAACAACAAAAACCAAATTTAAATGCAATTCCAATTTCCAAGAATGCCGTAAACAAATGTTTACTGGGTTGGCCTTACACACTCAAACATCCGAATGATGGTGATGATGATTATGGGGACACGATCTAAGCGCGCTATATCGAATATTATTCATGATTTTTCGTTTATTCATTCGTTCATCAGTCAGTCTGATTTCGTTTCGAAATGAACGAAGAAAACACATTTCAAATAAACAAAAATCTAACTAGTGAAAATGAAAACGAGACAGAAAAAACAACAACAACAACAACAACCGTCAAATGCACATATCATCAGTATACTATACACATTACACAAATATAAACTTATAACGGAAATAAGATAGAGAACTAGGCAGCAATGTGCCATATGTGTGTACACTTGTAGATGGTGTGTACCTTATTGTGAATGTTTATCCATATGGTTGTAGTTGTGTGCATTTTATTCTGGGTAGAAAAATCGTTTTAAATGTTCAGCTTTCTCTCTTTCTCTACTGTCTCCTTTATAATAAGTGCCATTCATCGCTTTCCTTTTTATTTTTCGCCTGTTTGGTTATTGTTCTAAGAGATTCACATTCTCGTTCCCTCTTGGCTCGTGCATACACTGTGGAAAAGAAATCGACGCGTAGCGTTCATAGCATATTCATGTGTTTTGGTTTATTTATGATGTTTTGATGTCTTTGCACAATGAAATAAAATAATATGTATACACATATATAAATGCAATACGTCCCATTGTGTGTGGTACGAAATATGAAGTAAACGGAAAGTGAATGAACAATGAATTGAAGTCCAAAATTTTGGTTGCGTTTCCTTTGTCTCTTCATCGTATGAGATGCCTTCAATAAGATAATAAGCCGGCAAACGCGTAACAGAGACGAGAATATAAGTGTTTGGTGACGGGCCTTCATGACGTCGCCCATAGTCGATTATTGCTGCTGCTGCTGCGGTCGTCGCCGCCGCAATTGCTGCTGCTTTTTTTTTTGTCATAACACCAAAAGAATATACACATAAATTTATTCCGATCAGTTTCGTTGCTGCTCCTTGGCATTGTGTATCTATTATTCTTTTTCGTTCATATATTCTGTGCGTTTATAGTCGTTCGATTCGTTTTGAAAGTGAACTTGTGTTGTGTGCCTTTGTTTTGTTGATTGTCAACGCGTGTATATTTGTGTATGAGGCGTGTGTGAGTACGTGAATGCGTATGAGTATTGGAAACACACGGCTTGCATTGCTGTAATATGATGCACTTCTCTACCATATACGGAACACAACACACATCAAGCAAAACACAACCAGACAAGAAACAAACGAAAAACCCATTAGTCCATAGCAAAGGCAAAATACTCACAGCCAGTTCTATATATGTGGCGAACAAATATCACGCACATTTTTCGCCGCTACTCCGCTCCGCTACTTTCGTTCGAATACAAAATGTGCTTCACGTTTATTTTAAATCGCATTTGTTAGGCGGATTGTGTTGTTGTGCGTGAAGTGTGTATATATAACAAAACGTATAATTTTTTAGTAATTAATTTCGATAAGTTGTGTTGTTGCATCTGAAATTTGGAGCTTGTGAGATTTGCGTTCAGTTTATTCAACCGGGCATTGATTTTTTTTGTTTGTTTCACTCCTGTCGGAATGGTCATGGTGCGTTTTTATTCAAAAATAGCAGCTTATCAATAGGATTAACAGAGACGAATTTTGGTCATTGAGCTTGATTTCTATGCCGTGTGACATTTAATCGATATAGACATGTAAACAAAATTGACAATTGAATCAGCGCGGAAATTGAGAAAAAAAAAACGAAATACATTATCAATGCCCGATATGAGTGAATCCAATGTTGAATTGGTGAAATTTTAACAGTGGCCACCGTTGCTGCTGCTGTTGCTACTGTACCACTAGTCAATGAACACCGAAACGAAAACATCAACAGTGTGAAACGGAGTTTGATATGTCATATCAAAACATCCTATAGTACGTATAATGTGCATATGTATATTTTCAGCATAAAAACAAAATGTTGCAGTGTGTATACGATTGTGCACATTGAGTAACGGTAACGACGGCAACAACGACAGATTACCCACTTTAGAACAGTTGTTGCAAACAATAAAAGTGTGTGGCGTGTGTTTAGTGACAACAAAGAAATCGTATGCATTCTGATAGTGTTTCGTTTGCACGTTTTATTCACGTCTTTTGTTTTCATTTTTCAACTCGAGGCGCGTTGAATGTTGTCAAATCTCTCACTCGATTCAGTCGACATTGTGTGAACGTTTCAGCTGACCATTTAGTATACAAAATACGTTTGGTGCGATCGAAACCGATATTCAATAGCTCTTGCTCGTTAGTTTTCGATTTTTCAAGTAAGATTTTCCTATACGCTTCAACCAAAATCAGAATTAGAATCTGATTCACTAGTTGTTTCATTTTTAAATTTCACGCAATGCGCTCACACACGGAGATACAGAGTGAAAGCTGGAATACTCACAGTGAAATTCGGATTATTTGAGTTTTAATACAGAAATCAATTACGTTAAGCCGCGAGAAATAAAAAAAAAGATATAGAACTAAGAGAAACATGCACCGCATTTCAACATATTTTTCAAAATGTTTTGAGTTTTTCGGAATGTTGTTTTGAATGTCAATAATTTGTTCTATTTCATTTGAAAAATGTTAATCTTTTGTCTGTATCACTCTTCACCGTTTCATTAACTCAGTTTTTCCTCATTTGCGGTTTAAGGCACTGCGCTTACGTTCGTTGCTTTGTTTTCCAGTGAAAGTGAATCACGCTCATTGATCTGAAGATCTATGACGTGCCAATGGAATCCCATTTTTTTTCTTGTCATCTATGTGTTTCCCTATCATTCAAATGAACCATAAGTAGCACCGAATTCGATGACTTTGCGCCGGGCGTATGTTTATGTTTCGCTTAAAATATGCGTCATTTTTAAGTTTCCCCACATAGTTCACCTCTCCCAAAAATAAAACAAAACTCATTCATTAACTTTGAGTAGAGTAGAGCATTGGAGGCACACACATTGTGCTGAAGTGGCAGAGCGATTGTGGCGATTAAAATGCTACATTTGTTCATATTTGATTGACGGAGAAACATAGTTTTCATTTGTGCAAGAAACATACATCAAACACATTGAGAGACGATTGACTCGATTCTTCTCATTCCATAATCGGATCATCAAATTTAAGTTCGATCATTCCACGAAATTAGTGATTAAAATATTTCTTTCGTCGATGCGGTTCGTTTTAAATATTTTATTTGAATTGTGATTCAACAATGTTTCTCTTTGTTCTTGACCCATCAATCAAGCCAAATCCTCTTGGCATGAATCAATGTGGTCATTTGTGTGTGTGTGTGATAGATTAGATTCTTGTGCATTGATTTAAATCGGTCACTTTTTATTGAATGCATAGTCGCTATTATAAAGTGTCAGAAATTTTGTTTGTGCCTTATAACATTAATTTTATTTCTCTTTTCTCTTTTAATTCCCCTCCGCATGCTATTTAGTTGGATATGTGAATTTATGCGAGTTCATTGTGTGGCAGTTGTGAACAGTTCAAGATTTTTTCACTGTCAACATACATATAGAAGAAACGTGTACGGTTCGTGTGACGAAGGGGAAATTGTGTTGCGCGCGGTCAATATTCTTGGTGCCTTCATCGCCACCGCCGTTGCCGTCGACCCGAGACGTATTTGGATTATTTCATAGTGTTATTGTTAATGTTTATAAAGAGTTCTATGCCCTGTGTGTGATGGTATGAATATAAAAAAAACATAAACACTTTATTATTGAAATCGATGTGAATGAAACAAACAAAGCGAAATACATGCGTACTTCTTTCATTTCGAGTTTATTAAACGAAGTAAATCATTCCCAACCAATACCAATGAAAGTAGAAAACAATTCGGTCAAATAATTGTTGTGTGACTAAGACTGATTTCCGTTCGATAGATTAAGAAAATACGAAAAAATAAAATTAGAAACCAGCGCTGCCAAAATGTCGTTGCAAAAGTATATTGTTGCGTCAAATTTAGTGAAGATATTATTAATCACATGTGTCATACTGTTGCGATTACCAAAATGTACCACAAAACCAGCGATAGACATGTATAGCGATAATGTCGTAAGTATATTCATTCTTTAAACATATTTTTTTTTTACCAAAAAAATTATCATTTATTTATTTCGTATATTAAATTTAACTTAATTGAGAGAAGTAAAAAAAAAATAAAAATCATTTCGTGTGAATAATTCACGAACTCATAACATCTCTCCGAATGCTGAAGCGGCTCATTTATTGATTTCACAATTAAAATTCATTCATTATTGACGCACCGTATGGCTACTAGTGATGTACAATGCAATTCACTATATATCGTTATTATTTAATTCAAGTTAATTCCGACATTTACATCTAATGGCATAAATGGCTGAATAACATTTTGCCAGAGCCACTCACATAAAAACGGTGGGCATGTATATGCAATATTGCACAATATGGCGAATACAGTATATCGCGCGCGCGCTCGTCGTATTATTCAATTAGTGCACGACACATGCATTTTGAATTTTTGATTTTAATTGGAGTGTTTAACTGTCAAGGACGACTCTAAGCACTCACAATTCAAATAGATGAAATAATCGTTTCGATGAAAACAAGACAAACGGTCTATACTCTAACACCGATGCCATGCAATACATTTTGGCGTCTTTTTTTTGTTTTTGTTCTTGGAATGTAAACCAATGAATTCAGGTGGATTTGTAACAAGAAAATAATAAAATGTTCGTGCAAAAAAACCAAGAAACATAACATTGATGATGAATTGGTATACATTATCAATTCATATACATCGACTGTGTGTAAAGTACACAACCATCCAAGTGAAATGCCGTTATGCCAAAACGCAGACAAATACAATAGCAAAAGTGTGAAGCGCAAAGACCGAATTTAATTCTAGTCCGCCTGGTGCTTCCGACAGCGTTGAACGTAAAAAAAATAAACCAGCCGAATGAGTCATTCACCATTTCCGTTTGGTGTGCATTTTTCATTTGCATGACTTTCTCTCACACGCTCAAAAGAGTTTTTTCATCGTCTCTTTTCTGGAACCAATTTTTTGCTCGTTTTCTCTCTCTCTCTCTCTCTCTCTCTCTCTCTCTCTCTCTCTCTCTTTATCTTTTCTTTTACATTCTCAGTTCAAATGAAATACGATTTTGAATCATTGTGTTATGTTTTATGGTTTTTTTAAAGAGTGTTCGTCTTCGTCTGTACCGCCTGCTAATTATATTCAATGAATTGGCTTTAGTTGCACTTGTCCCTGTGATTACAGAACAAACGGACACAATGACAAATACAAAGCAACTAAAATTAGCAACTGTAGCGAAGATAAAACGCATAACTACGGAAATATTTCCCTTCTCATTGTAAAAGTGACTCAGTGCTCATCGGAGCAAATAGGCGAGCATCATTGCCTGCAATAAGTCTGCGATATATGTATATACATTGAGCATTGAATTTCTTCCAAAATTGAACATATATAGGCTTTATGTGTTCGTTATATTTGCTATGGTTATGGATTTCAAATAAAAAGAAACTTATTTCATTTATTTCATTATGCATGTATATTCAGTTCTTATATTCCTTTGGGTTCATTTATTTGTAAGTTACACATTTACCGCCACAAAGCCACTTCTATCTATTCTAGCACGAAAAACTGAATTATGTACGCTTTTCTCTCTCTCTCTCTCTCTCTCTCTCTCTCTCTCTCTCTCTCTCTCTCTCT